CACCTACCTTTTTGCAGTATATAATCTGTGTTACTACATTTCACCAGTAGACGTCTCTCCAACTCTACTCTGAGCAGCTACAGAGACACTGAAGGAAGAGGTGGGATAGTATAAAAAACAGCTTACAGAAATTACCATATAGATAGTATGTTAACAAAGGGAACATTTCTATTTAAGTATTAAGCAGCAGTGACACTATAAAAACAATGACAAACTCCCGTCACAGCTACATTAAGTGAACAGAGCTAGCTTTTGCTGTAACGTCGGGTACGGGTATGGAAGCCTGTTTGCGCCACAGAAAAAATCTAAAATAAATCCTGTAAGACAATATTATGACTTACTATCTCATTATTTCGACTTATCTCATTATAATGACTTGCAATCTCATTATTATGACTTAGTATCTCATTATTTTGACTTGCTATCTCATTATTATGACTTACTATCTCAATATAATGATTTACAATGGCATTATTTCGACTTACTATCTCATTATAATGACTTACAATCTCATAATTATGACTTTCTATCTGATTATTTCAACTTACTATCTCATTTTTTCGACTTATAAATGATTATTATGAATTACTGTCTCATTATTATGATTGAAGCCGACCACCAGCAAGTCGAAGTAAGTTGCTATACTGTAGCTTTATGCAAGCAGGATTTTGGAGCACTCTGGAAGAGAAAGATATTGTTGTGCTCAGTTCGGTAAAGTTAGAAATATATTGAAAGCTTCAAATTTGGAGGATCAATAACTCAAACAAATCGTTGTAAAAATAAAAACAATGTGACTTCACAACTATTAGGCCAATTAAGAGTTGTAGAAGTAAAAGTCCAATTGAAATCCATATTAAGGTCAGATTTGCTACCACTACAGGAGTTTGTGAGTATCTTTCCGTACTATCCCACTTCGGACCACTGGAAGTCTGAAGTGATCTCTGAGGCGGACTGGCACGCAGACTTCCTGTTTCCTGGTAGCATTGCCGACTGGCCTCCCTTTATTTCCTATGCTGCTGTTAGCCAGTCAAGGGAATCCTTAGTACCACAGGGGTTTGCATCAACATAGCGCCACATAATGTCACCTTGCAGTGCATAAGAGCGGACTGAGTCTCTCCCACAGTTTGCGACCAACACCAGTAGAGGCTCCAAGACACCAGGGTGACTACCCTTAGATTATTCCTGTTTCCAGGGGCGGACTGGCCATCTGTGTGTTCTGGAGAATCACAGATTGTCCGGCAGGCCAGGGCCGTTTTTTTAAAAACATTTCTTTTTAAATTCATCATTTAAGTTGCGCTGACAGGCGACAGAGGGCCACAGTTTCCCTGCGCTAACAGTTCACGAGTGTGCTCTCTATGTGAGTGCTTGAAGTTGGGGTTAAAATTAATAAAAGCAAAGTCCTTCTCAGTCTGCTCCAGGTTTAATTATACTGACCTTTATTTGAAATAGCAAAACAAAGATCTATTAGTTAAAATGTAGCCTTTCACAACTGTAATTTAAAGACTGTAGCGTGTACAAAAGAGTATCGTACTCAAGTACAGGTTAGCACACTTAAAATACATTTTTACCCAAGCAAAGTATATAAATATAAAGGTGCTGATCTGGAAGTAGAACTATGTGCATATATTTTATTTAGATATGTTCATTTTGAGAAGCCTAATCAGCAATGACAAACAGCCAAATCATCCATCTAACATTGAGCATGTTGACATCTGATCTATCACATGTAGGGAGGATCCCTACATCATTCAGTGCATCAGGTTTAATCATATTTTTGGTTCTTTATTCATTCACTCACTTATTTGTTTTAAGGATGATGTACTGTCTGCAATTACATTAAGATTAATAGGGATTATCCATAAATGTATACAAAAAAATAAATACAACAAAATGTCAGTTTTCATGCCATAGCATTTTATTCACAAAACCAGCAGGAGATTGATTCATCTGAAGTTAGCAACTTTTTGTCTCCTCTAATTATATCTTTTCAGTGGACGTTTTTATAAATAGCAGGAGAAAAAGGCCAATTTTGCATAAATATAGTCAGAAGTACGAAAAATTGTGAATGTATAATTTCAGTACAGTCTGTGATCGAAAATAGAAATCTGTATCTGTTCTCAACAATAGTGCAGCGACAATATTCCTACTTAACAACAATAAGTATATTTCTTACAGTAATTTCATGCAAAGCGAATCTCTTAGGGCAGTCAAAGGCATCAAGATAATGTTCGGTATCAACATCAAACATAAAACATGCAGTTTCAACATTATTTGACATGCCAAGTTAATAACTACAAAACATTGTGATGAATCAAAAGAAACCAATGGTTACATAAACTCACATTCTGCTTAAACTTCCTTAAAATATATATGTTGGCATTTTTACTTCCTGTTTGTACTGCTGTAGGTGTCTAAAGCATAGTTCAGTGTTAGGACATACATATATATGTGACAAAAACATGTGCCACACTTGGCTTAGCAAGCATTTATGTGTGGAGTCATCAGTGACATCCTAAAGGGTTTACCGAGACAAATTGTACTCATTCGCATACAAAAACGATTACAGTTACATGTGGGACCTTGTGAACAAAAATAAAGATAAGGCTGCACAGACGTACAGGCTGGTGTTTGTCTCAAAATAATATAATTTATGAAAGCCCTGAAAGGCAAGTGAGGAAAACTAATCTGGTGATCCATTTTCTGAGCCAGATTTAAAAGTGTTCTCATGTGAAAAAAAGGATAATCTTTCTAATTTTATTAATTATTTATTTTGTATCTATTTGAAAACAGATAGTGAAAGTTTTGCTTGGAGTATATTTCTGTGATGGATATTTGTTTCATCTCTTCAACAGTTAAACAAGTTATGGCAGTTTTTGCCAGGATTCTTTGTGTTGTTGTAGTACTCATGTTGGCCACAAGAGGCAGAAATGCACCACGCTTTCTTCCAGGCGGGTTTTGCAGTAATTGTTTCATGTACTTTAAACATAAAGCATTTGTATTGTGTCATAAGTTATGTATGAGTGATTTCATGTCTTTCTGTAAACTAGGAATGTACCCTATGAGACCCACGGGGCCGTATACGATCCCAAAGATCACGTTGTGTTCAAAGCGTCATAACTTCTCAGCTGTTTCAGCCAGAGACATTCCGTGTTTTTCCTCTTAAACTACAGAAACGGCAATAAACAACTCCATTAAGTTTTTCCTTGAGAGGTGTTTACTTATTTTGGTGAAGCGAATGAGCTTAGAGTTTTAAAAGATGCAGATAGTCTCACCTTGATTCTGGCGCATTGCTTATCGTTTCCTCTTTTATAGATCTATTCTCATCCACCATCTTTGTTTGTGACGTAAAGAGTGAAAGAGTCACGTTTCTGAATCGTGGATGCAGTCACAGCCAATCGGAGTCTGATTCAGAGGGTTGCCTGTCTGTTCTGATGTTATGTTTACTGAAACGAGAGCCGGTATAATTCCACGCGCGAAAATAAAAGTTGGAATACGTTCTTTTAGTGTTTTGAAAGTAAACTGAGGTATGGCAAGGACGTTTACTACAGCTGAGGCTTTGGAGCAGATTTTTCAAGGGGACAATGTTGATGAAAATTCAGACGAATCTGCTCAGCATGCCATGTGTGATTGTGGACATGATATATCATGTGTACTCTTCAAAATTGGCAGGACAAAAAATGACAATTCCTCGCAAAAAAAACGCCCATGGACACTGCCCAAAAGAATGGGCATAACTAATTAACAGAATAAGTTAGCATCTTCTAATCAGTTCTGATACAATGATAATAAATGTGTGCAATTTGCTGTGTTGAATGTTTCTTTCAATGTTATGGTTAGCAGTTATTTTTAATGAAATAAGTAAAACATTCAAGCTCCGTCTTTTATTTGTTTTATTTATGGGCAAATATCCCCTATTATAGTGTATATAAATCTCTAATGAGTGACACATATCATTAGCTGAGGTTGTGCTGATTTCTGGGATATGTAAAACTTGATTTTACTGCAAATAAATGACAATTTATTAGGCAAAACACAAAAATATACAAAAACGGAAATGTCCTATGTGGGTCTCGGAGGGTTAATCGTTGTTGAGGAGAGACAACTATTTAGATCAGACCGAAATGATGGATCACCAGATTATTTTTCTCACTTGCCTTTCAGTGGTTCCATATAATAATTTACATTTCCAAAAAGCTAAATCATTTCTTAACTGAAAGTTAATTTCAGAGCCATAAAACAACATTTGTATTAATTTGTGTCATTTTTTTAAGGGATTATGACGTCTCATTAGGGCTGCACGATGTGTCGTGACGATAATCGCGATATGCGCATGCGCGATATTCACATCGCAGGACGTGCGATTTAAAAGAAATCGACTTGCGATATTAAGTAGGCAAATTAACTCAAACACGTCATGTTACAATTATTTTGCTGCTTGCTACAAAATGAAACCTTGCACGGCTCTCATGTCAGGGGTACTTGAGTGAGTGACATGCAGGCTCTGCATGCACAGCAAACCAGAGTTAGATCACAATCAAATCTCCAAAGCAAACGGACCCGGTGATTAAAGGTAAAAACACTGAATAAAGTAGTTTAATGTGTTTCTCCAGGGCAGTTCGGCGCTGCTAACCGAGCTAGCTCAGCTTTGCTCAGCGTTGCTCTGATAATCAATCAATCAATCAATGTTTATTTATATAGCCCAATATCACAAATGTTACATTTGTCTCAGTGGACTTTACAGTTTGTACAAAATATCAGTATGACAATATGACACCCTCTGTCCTTAGACCCTCACATCGTACAAGGAAAAACTTCCAAAGAAAACCCACAGTTTAAAGGGAAAAATGGGAGAAACCTCAGGGAGAGCAACAGAGGAGGGATCCCTCTCCCAGGACGGACAGACGTGCAATAGATGCCGTGTGTAAATTGAAAAGATAATACATTTGCAACATAGGTAGTCCAAATGTTTGGAAATGATAACTTAAGATCCAGACCTCCTGACTAAAATCCTTCATCCGGTTAAATATAGTTTCTTCAATTCCTGTATGTTTTCATATCGCAATATATATCGCAGCGGGGGGGAAATCGCAATGTCAGTTTTATCCAATATCGTGCAGCCCTAGGTCTCATACAAACAATCAGCCTGAGGATTTAGATGGTATGAGTACACAACCAATACACTAACATTTGGCCTTTCAACTTCATTTTACTAATTCCTTACCCACTGATTTAAAAAAAAAAAAAAAAAAATCATATTACACTCATGCAATTCACAAAACAACTGGATCACAGAAGGACCAGTTAACCCAAGAACATAAAAAAAAAAGTGCCATGCAGCAAAATATTTGCAAATGAGGTAAGACAGTAAGAAACATTCAGGAACAACATCATGCTCCGGTCTACATTCATAATGGCAATTTGTGTTTTCATGTAAGAGAAATCAGTGATTCCTTTTTCGTTTTGTTACACTGTTCCAGTGGGATTCAGATGTTTAGGCATTTCCCATAACAAAGAATTACAGTAATAAGTGGTCCTCTTTGGTTTCACAGCAGTCTCTTCTTCTTATACAACTCAATAATGAAAAACTGATAGATAGACAGATAGATAGATGGATGGATGAATAGATAGATAGATAGATAGATAGATAGATGATGGATGGATAGATAGATAGACTAATATACAGATAAGGCAAACTGCCCTTTGAATGTATATGTTGACCAACTGGAACACTCCTGAGTTCAGCACAGTGACACTTGGGAGAAGCAATGTGCTCAGCAGATGACAACTGCATTTAATCAACCCAGATTAAAAAAATAATTGAGGGTAATGCATGTGCTAAAATATCACAAAGTACTGGATGAGTCCCATGTGAGCTTTTGAATGGATAAACCTATAAGTAACACTAGGTGCGCTTTACTTATTTCCTGCAGAAGTCTTGTTGCCATCGTCACAGGAACCGTTGCTTACTCTGCACCTCAGATCCTGACTGCCCTCAGACTTTGACCCACACTCCTCTGTGGAGTCGAGTTGTTCCTGGGGCTCAGGACTCAGATCAGTCACTGAGGCTCTGCGTGGCTCCTGGTCGGACGAGCACAGCTCCTGCCATTTGTTGCGATTGGCATCTATCTCATCGACCATTGGCTGTAACTTCCTGTTGAGCTTCAGCATTGCCTGGGAGCGAAACAAAGGAGTACCATTAATATTAAAACTCACAAATAATGCCTATAATTTTTGTACTGACATCAACGGTACAAGTTTAACTTTATACATAACAGTTACCTACTTGGTAAAGGGGTCTACATATCCCATCTATCCACTCTAGCTGTAAGGCAGGCAATTCATCTTTGCGATTGCGGTCAAATATGGCCTACAGAGAGGAGATAATCTTTGTCATTTACTTACGAAACATTCATCGTAATTATTATTTTTTAGATATCACTCTAATACATCATGGTTGGAGTGTATGCTGCCAACTCTTTATGACATAGAAATCTGTGTGAAAAAGATCCTAGTGAAAGAAATACCTGGAAAGCGTGCATACTTACTGCTGGGGTCAACTTCAGCTCTGACCTCTCTCTGTCACCTTGTTCAAAGAACTCACTCGTCACCAGCTCTGCAACCTTGGCAAATAATTCCACACATTATCATTTTACTCAAACATTATGTAACATTTGGATTCATGGCCTCTAAGTTAGTGGATGCCTGCATTGGATTTGTTTTGTACTCAATATGCTTTACTTGAATTTCAGGAAGTATATTTACATTATTAATTTGTAAAGGGAAGAACAGGTCCTTTTTAAAAAACAAATTCCAACTTAAATTGTACATCTCCAAGCCCTAACACATGATGTGAAAAGCATCAAACCTGTTTGGATATCTTCCAAGGACGAGTGACTGCGCCCAGATCACATCCTGTCATCATCATGGACCTGACAATGACAACAAAGCTTTGTTCTACCTATTTGTTTTCACTTAAAGTGATGTTGGCACAGGAAAGTTGTATTTAGCACAGAGGTAGAAACCTGATAACTTCTCTATGTCCTTCATCTGTCCAGCTAAATTCTCCAGAGAGAACACACTCAAAGAACTTGTTCCTGCGCCTTACAATGCAACGAGACAGACAAGGATACAGAAAGTATTAAAATGCAAAAAATAATAAAGACAGTTTTCACCACAAGAGCACTCTGTAAAAACACAAACATCTAAATGTTAATCCTTATTTTGTGAATTTAACAATAATATGCATAAATCTATTTCAGTGTTGTTATATAACCACTGAGTACCTCGGCTCTGAATTCATTAAAAAAGACCACTCACTCAAAGTGCAAAGTAAGGTCTGTGGAGAGAATCGCCTGCTTCAATAGTTGCATCATGTTGCTGTACTCCTTAGAGCAGAGGTTTGCAAAGATATTGTGACCCTGTGAGGAGACAAAATACAATAGCATACATTAGGGTAGATACACAAAAGCAGACAAGGATGAGTAATAGTTGCTACAATGTCTCCTTATGCAGCCAGTGCATTGGTAAAGTCATTGCTCACTGTCAAACGCAGTTCTCATTATCACGTTAATTAGCAGTGTGTATAGACTTTCCCTGTCCTCTGTTACAGAAATCAATAGAGAGAACATTTCCAGATGATCAAACAGATCGAAGCAGTCTCACAACGTCAATGGTGGTCACTGCTGCCGTCTACGAATCTTGGGACTGTTTTAAGAGGGATCACATACGTAGGCATTGATGATGAAGTTCCTTTTAATAGCGTTTTGTTGTATTCTGCTAGTATACATTCAACTTTTGTTTTGGTTTTGTTTGTCTAGTTTAATCAGGTGTATTTACCCTTGAAAAGACAGGCGTTGCAAGGGTTGACAGAGGTGATTGTTGCACTGTGGCCATTATTGTACACATTTAAGCAAGTGAACCATAACACCATGAGCTTTTTGAAGCATCAACAACGTATTAAGTGCTTTTCTTATGGTAAAAAGGATCCAATTAATTGGCGAATCCAAGTCAGTTAAACACTCGCAGCCAATAGATAGATAATTTATTACTTTCGTCACAGAAGCAGAAGTGTGTTCAGACATTAAAATTAGGGCTGTCAGTCGATTAAAATATTTAATCGCGATTAATCGCATGATTGTCCATAGTTAATCGCGATTAATCGCAAATTAATCGCACATTTTTGATCTGTTCTAAATGTACCTTAGAGGAATATTTTTCAAGTTTTTAATACTCTTATCAACATATGAGTGGACAAATATGCTTTATGCTAATGTTTATTATCATTTGAATAATGACAAATATTCTCATGAATATTAAACACAACAACCTCTGAACATTACAAATATTCGCCTCAATTCAACCTGGAACCTCTCTCATACAATACAATGTGTGTGTGTGTGTGTGTGTGTGTGTGTGTGTGTGTGTGTGTGTGTGTGTGTGTGTGTGTGTGTGTGTGTGTGTGTGTGTGTGTGTGTGTGTGTGTGTGTGTGTGTGTGTGTGTGTGTGTGTGTGTGTGTGTGTGTGTGTGTGTGTGTGTGTGTGTGTGTGTGTGTGTGTGTGTGTGTGTGTGTGTGTGTGTGTGTGTGTGTGTGTTGGAGCTATGTGCAACTCAAGGCATATGCTCGAACGCTGCAATCATGTTGCGCGCATTATACGTGCTGACTGTTCGTACATTGTCCCACTGTCTGGCTTCCTGCATAACGTCAAGTGCTCGGCGCAGTTGTGGCGAAATGTCGCTCCTCTGTTTTCACTTAAACAGCTCCTTATATCCGTTAGCGCAGCTAGCTAGCACCAGATGCTAACAACAACAATGCACGTAAGGTCTCTCTCTCGCTCGCTCGGGCCACACATACACACACCCTCCCGGTCCTCCCAATGGCCAGTCGGTGCCTGCCGGTGAGCGTGGAAGTGTGGTCTGCCACAAGCGGGCGGCAGGAGCGGGGCTGTCAGCATCAGCTTGTAGATGGTATTTTAAACTCGATGCGCTCTGAAACTACGGGGCGGCCGAGGAAAAAAAATACACATGCGTTAATTGCATTAAAATAATTAGTGGCGTTAATTTTTTTTTTTCGTTATTAACGCGTTAACTTGACAGCCCTAATTAAAATACAATACTTTAACTACTTTAAAACGTGGAAAAGAGAATTAAGAATTACAAATATAATGAAAAATATTATATCAAATAAAAACAATATAAACAATATAAAATATTCTGGATGAATAAAATAAAAAGTCAAAAATACTACAGGATCCAAAATACTACAGGTCCAATAACTAAACCTCTGAATTACTTGAGCGTTATGAGAAGTAATGTTCTGACCTCACTTTGTAGGATCATGACTGCATGGTTGAAGTGATGATGCTCCAGGGTGGCTGACGTGCCGTAGAGCAGAGCCAGAGCTGAGCCGGTCCTGTGGGTCAGAACAGAGCGGTGAAGCTTTCTGCAGACTGTCTGTCGTCATACTGTAGGCCTACCTCACTTACTTGGCTTGAAATGCATTGTTGGTGCCTCGGTGGTCCAAGTCATGACACAGGCAGCCGACCATCAGGGCCAGTATCTCAGCCTCCGACAGGACGTCCCGGAAACTGGCTGTCTGCACAAAGAAAAGCAGAATGGCACATTCTTATCCACTTAGCATTCATTTCTATGTGCAATAGAAAAGGACATGACAGAACATTTCTGGAGTTACATTATTATTAAGTTTGGGAGTTTTTAGCACACCAAATCAGTCAAGTTGATCATTCTCTTTGAGACTTAACCCAAATATTCCTCCTTTGAATTCTTTAAAGGTGACCTTTCATGCTAAATGCACTTTTTTATGTATTTTATACATAAATATGTGTCCCTGGTGTGTCAGGGAACTCACAAAGTGTCAACAAACCCTCTCTTTTCCTCTGTACCCAGATCTCTAAAAACGGGGGAACAACGGAGCTGATCCAGATTTGCGTCTTCGTCAAATCGGAAATGAGGACCCACGGCACTATCAGAAAGTTGCTATCAGAAACAATGCCTGACGTGTTTTGGACGTAATATGGTTGTTTACATTAGCAAGCACTGCTAACACTCAGAGCTAACATGTACTGGAGAGAGTATGTGTAAAAAAAGCAGGCAATGAAGCTCAACGTAAGTTCTTTCAGGAAGACTGGTATACATTCACTTTGCAGCTGCTTATAATCAGCTCATCACGGGCATTCTGTTAACCTATTACATTCACCTCAATCTCAGCAGCCAATCCTCGTGCGGCAGCCAAACTTTAAAATGGTTCTCCTCTCTCCTGCAGTCAGCTGTGATTTCAGGTTTCCATGCTGCCGACCACCTCCTCCCCATCCACCTCCTTTCATCATATCCAGTGCCAGGAGAGCTAATCCAAAGACCTCATCACATCCCCTCTTCATCCCATCTCCTCATCAAATCCAGATCTTCAGCATCACCACCAGTGTCTAGACCCCGGGGGGGTTCCCTATATGCTCACGGCTGTATTTCCCCCTTTAGATATACGATTTCAGGATCGGGGTCTAATCGCCAAAGACTTAACATTTATCATATGGCATGTGTCAATAAATGTTCTTTAAACAAAATGAAGTCTCTCCTAATTGAACTTAAAAAAAGGAACTCACCTTGTGGTAAACCCGCAAGAGAAAAAGCATTTGAGCTCCATACTGTTTCAGAAATAATCCTTGATGTGGTTTGGAACATGATGGTGTTTAATCCCGGCAGAATTTAACTGTATCTGCCCTTAGAATTCTGAGCAGGCATTAGCTCCCCCTCCTTTTTCAAGCTAAGGCCCCAAAATCAGCCATTCTCTAACGGGGCTAAAACAGAGAGATATGAGGGATGTCTAAAATGCATGATCTGTTTGGTACTTTGAGCAAAACACATCATAGACATGTTTTTATATATTTTTGATATATCTGAGACCCATAATATATCAACCCAGTCTCATGGCATTTCGTGTTCACCAACACGATTTTTAATCTATTGATTCGTGTTCACCAACACGATTTTCCCCTTTTTTTCGTGTTGCACAGCACGATTTTAAAAGCAATGTGTTTCTACTGGTAATGACGCTCATGGAAGCACGACATTCGTTTGTGTCGGCTGCCCTTAAAGGCAATGTGAGCGTCCATTCTCATTGGATAACGGAGAATTGTACACCCGGAAGTAAGTATTCCCCTTACTGTCGATTGATTTTACAGTGATATCTGCACTACTCATCGACTAAAAAAACACCAGATTATCCTTGTTAATTACACAACATTGATTGGTTTAAATTGTGTGCAATGCTTTTGTATTTTTCCCCTTCGATTCGGAGAAACAAATATTTTTTCGGAGTAAAGGATAGCAGAAGACATTACACTACCCAGAATCCCCAGCTATCGTTTGGACTACACCATGTGCTCTGTTTGACAAACCCCGTGATAGTCCTCAAGCTCTGTGATTGGAGAGTGTGCTCCGAGGGTTACACCGAGCCTCGAACAGCACTTGAAATGGGATGGAACCATGGCCGACTGTCCAAAACTGGATTTGAACGGGTCCACCGCGTCCGGCCCTCCCCCACCCGGTCCCCAGAACTACACATGCTGGCTATTCTGTTTCGCAACATGTTTTCTATCTATGGCACGTTTCTACTGGGAGTTGTAGTTTTAAAAGACGTTTTCGTATTTCCCATAATAAGAAGTTGCCAGTATTAAACTGTGTACATCCCTGGAGGTTTAGGGGATAGGAAACACTCAAATTTAAAACATATAATTAATAAATGGGTGAAAATTGCTTGTGCCCATAATGGGCAGCATTAATATATATAGCCTCCACACATGCCAGCTAAGGTCAGAAGAGCTTTATTTAACAGCTGGTCTTATGTTTGTGACCCCTGTTGTTAATTGATAACATTACATTACATTAATTGATAAGCCTGAAACATGCACTTGTCAAGGTTCAGAGGCACATTTTGCAAATATGGCAGTAGCCATTGATCAGCTTAAGATAATATATACTTTATTGATCCCAAGTTGGAACATTTGCGTTACATCAGCATGTGTAACAGTTGTAAATATGCAGTGGTGTTTATTTGTAAATCATTTAGTATAATCACACCAATTCTGTGTTTTATATTTAACAATTCTGTGTTCTTTATTTATTGATTGTTCAATACCTGACAAGGCCGGAGATGAAATATCTACATACATCTTATAAGAGTATAATACATTATGTATAATATCAGTTAAAATAAGTGCTTCAACATAGCTAACATTGCTGGAGGTATGCACAAATATTGATAGATGTCTTGTAATGCACTATTGAGGAACCTGCGACCCAAGTTTTTCATTCAATGCATAACTACACCATAGTTGTGTAGGCCTATATGATATGTCAATAAACCTTAGAAAATCTTGAGATCTTGAAAGAGATGTGCAAAATAGTCATTATATACAGTCTTTAATGAACTATTAGTAGAGAATAACGAGTAATGAATATACTTTATAGGGATCCTATTAATATCTCATAATAAAAATAATGAAATGCAATAACATGCTTTAACCACTAGGTGTCCCTTTATATCAGCTGTGCACCTTTATGGTGTAAATACAGCCTATCTACCAATTGGATCAAATATAAAAGTCAGCCGAATTAGTGTTGATACTGCAAGGAGACGTATTGTGTGAAAATAAATGTAAGATGTTGTTTAATGGCTGATATATTTATGATCCACGTCACGTTTTCAGTTCCTCATGTTTGTCTAGAAGTCTTCTCATCAGGGCTCTATAAATACAGAACTATCTATCTATCAGTCTATCTTTAGATGCGGATTTTGTTAAACTAATATGTTTGCGCTGTGGACCAACACTATACATTAACGGGGAAGGGGGTGGCAATAAAGATAACACCATTAAACAGTTACACAACATAACAGAAATAATATCGATAGCAGCGTCCCTAGCAACCACCTTGGTAACAATGAAAATGTTCTATGGACGAAATTTCCTGAAGTAATCTTCGTAATAACGAGCAAACTAAAGATCATGTACATCCACTGCACACATAATCTGAAATAACAACTCCTATTTCTCGCATCAAATGTCATCAAAACGCATTTTAATGGCCAAACTAACTTTAAAATAGGCATTTTCAACCGAGAATAAAACGAAGTTCGGCCATGTTTGTTTTTTTTGCAGGGAGAAATTTGAAGATCACGTGACATAGACGCCAGCCATTGGAATGAATGGTGAAAAAAAACGGGGGCCCATTCCCAAACCGCCCCCTACACCCTAAAGGGGGCACTGCGGGAAGAGAAATATTTTTTAATATCTTGAAACTTACTGTGATCATGGCAAACATGCACTGCGACACATTGAAGGCATGCCTCCAGTTGTGATACGCCACAGTTCGATAGTTCTTCCTCACAGTCAAAAGCCAGCGGCACAAAACCTACAAGAAAAATGCAGGTGATAAACAAACGTCAAATGTAGACTCTGACAGGACATATTGCAGGGCCTCACCTCATAGTCAATTTTAAACTTTTGCACAACTCCAAGTTCCAGAAACATCCGGAGTGACGCGGTGATCATGGCGTCATTGTCCAAAGAGAAGTCGTTGAAGTGGAACTCATCGATGCCCAACTCACTGCTCAGGGGGATCTTAGCTGCCTTAGGGGGATAGAGGACAGAGCTGTCAATCACACAGCAAGGGAGGGAGCATAGCACTGAACATTGTCATCAGCTTTCAGAAAGTTAGTTTTATTATAATGTATGAATGTTGTTATCTTTGAGATTACCTTGAGTCTGTCAACTTCTGCCTTGGAACAAGTAGCATGGTAGGACAACATCTGAAAAATATACATTTGTGCAAAAAAGTTAGACAAAGGAAATGTAGTATGATGCACTAAAATAACTGAACCGTTGATTTTAATTAAATGTATTATGTCAACACATTTCCCATAAATGTATTAGGTTAGGTGAAAGCAATAATATTAAGTTTAACCTAATGCTTAATTCAAACTTGATTGTATTGCTTCCAACTAACCTAATACAGTTATGTGAAATTTGTTGACATAATACATTTAATTAAAGTCAATATTTCAGTTTTTTTTGTTTGCTAATGTTATGCTATTGAGGTGAAAATCCTAAATTGAATTAGAGATAATAAATATGTTGCAAGAATTACAAGGCCAGCAATCTTTCCTATTACTTGTCATGTGATCACGATCAAACAGGAGTATAACTGTGCTTTTAAAACCAACATGCTGCACTTGATGTCTCCTGCAGTGGGGAAAAAAAGACACGAGGTGTTTAAAGAGACAGCAGAGATTATGTGGCAGAAATACAGGCGGGGTATGTGTTGCCTTTGATGACAGATGAGCAGACTGGCACATGTATTTATAATGAATTATTGAAGGCAGCGGAAATATTTATGGTGAGAAGCAGAGCCGTGTTTGCTGAGGATAATGTGACGGCTCAGGTTAGATATCGGGCAATGGAGCAGAACACTGATGGTGATGCTAATGATTGTTAAAAGCCTCTCTTATAAAATATTCAGTGACATCACTCTCCTCATTTATATTTGCCCATACACTCATTTTAAATAGATGTTATTTTTAGTTTAACTAAATGGATACATATATTAGTTGAGAAAAATGCAGCTTGTTGCATATTATGATGGATAGCAAATCAGAGCCTGTATAACATTCATCAGTAGCCTCAGTGACTGTTAAACTTCATTATGTATGAAGTGTATAAGTATATATTGTATTAGCGGTATCTGATACAGCTTGTGTTTAATGTAATGTATTTTAAATACTGGTATAAAACACATATGCCTGTCATGTATTTTAAAGGATTTGTTTAGCCACTCACACACTTTTTAAATGTGGATACATCACATCACAGTCATTGAACATTTGAGAAAAAATAAGAAAAAGTCAAACATACAAACACATTAAAAAAACTTATCTCATAAATCCAAAATGGTAGGCTGATGATTTGATTTAAAGTAAAACAATCAAGATGTTACAGTGCTTACATCCAGTGCTACAGACTGCTTGGCCCACGTCTTCTTAACCTGATTGTACATCATAGTGTTGTTGATTCCAAGTCCACAGAAAATCACAAATGCCTGTACACAAATACAGGAAAAAAACAAACATAAAAGGAAGCATAAGATGTTGGCATTATGTAATATCTAATGCAATTTTTAAACAAAGATGTAATGGAGCAGCTGTAGAGTTATTAAAAGCAAACCTCAAACAGTCTCTGATCTGCATCGTTGAACGTCTTCCTGTCTAAGCGATTCAGAATTTGTGCAACCCCTGCAGAAAACAGTCACAAAAATACACACACAAATACACATCATTGACTGTAAAAACAACAACTGGTTTTCCAGTGAGGAACATTTGATTATTTCCGGTTGATTTACCAATTATCTGATGGGTCCGATTCCAGATAGGGACGCATAACACCGATCTGATGTGACACCCTGAGGCCTGGTCCGCCTGTAAAGAGAGGACACAGTGAAAATGTAGTTTATGTTTGTTTGAGAAATATATATTTGAATACCTGCCCAGGCCCATATTGTTTCTTCGAGTAAAAAAAGTAAAATAACACATACATTTAAATGTGTTGGTGTTTATGATGTGTGTCTTTGTCTACTTGCTGCAGTTATATTTGCAACTATAATAGGTTTTCTAAAGAGACTTTTGTGTGCACACCTCTGCATCAAAGCGTGGGTCCTGACACACATCGCTGATGTTAACCGGCAGTCCTGTGGAAGCCACCAGCTCAGCAATGCTGTTATTGATCAGCCAATCAGAACACGATAGCTTCTCCATGCTGATGTGGCCAATAACACAAACAGGAAAACAAAAGTCAGTTCTCTGCACTTAACTGGCTACACAACTGCAGTTAATATTGACTAACTTCCTTATTTATGTTGGTTTCTTGTTATGGATTTGTGTGAGAGAATATGTGTCTGTTTATGGTATGTGTTGTTGTTTTGGCATCTCGTTATAGTACCCCTAAAAGTCTATTTTACCTGATTTCACGGTCGATGTTGCACAGGGGAGACATTAGCTCAAACGTCTTGGAGAACTTCACAACCTATAGAAAATACATTAATCAACACAACCAACAATATGTAGAAACAAAAAAGAGAATCCTGCATGAGAAGAGCTACATGGTTTGAAGAAAAAGTTTAAAGAAAATGTATCTGTTAGGCAGGGCAAACTTAAAAGCCGATAAAGAGCCTCACGGGGGAATCAATGTCTTCGAGGAGGAGCACAGAGCAGCGTTCACACTGCAGCAGGGTCAGCGCTCGCTGCATGATCTTCCTTACGATCTTCTCCAGGTCAGTCTGCTCCTCAAACAGGTCATTGACCACCTCCAGCAGAGCCTGTAGCAAGGAGAAAGGACTGATGACTGCTGTTCGATACACAGTGTTAACATATTCACAATATAAGGTCAGGCTGTCAAAGGATGCACAATAAGTTTGTTAGCCACTATATAAATTACCTTCAGTCGTCACATTTGTATTAGAGTTATTACCAATGAATATGACTAAGCATAACCATTTTAATTCTACTGTTGATACTCCAGTGGCTACAAAACAACCAAACATCTTTTTTGTAAATGCACATAATATTCTCTTACCCTACTCCTTTCATACTCCTTGCGAGACTCCGAAAACAACTTGGCATTGGAAATCGATATTCCACAGAATGGTAGATACATCTGCAGTACCTGGGTTGGAGTACCAAAAGAACGTCGTGAGAAGCATCCATAATCAATAACGATGTTAGCTATTCGTGTGCTAAACAAAAATGCATGCAACTGGGTAAGAGAAAAATAGAAGGTGATGATGGAGTTATCTGCTTCTTTGCACACATTTCTCTACAAATAGATTTCCTGTTAATGAAGTATTGATTTGAAGATAGAAGGCATTTAGTGAGACATCAAAGGTCTTTTTTCCTACTCATTATCTTTGTTGGTCAGGAGCAATTACTGAAGGTGCTTTTAATTAGCTATACGGAAACATTTTGGCTTTTCTAAACCTTACATACTGCAAACTCAAAATGCTGTTTAAAGTTGATATCTTTTAAGAGGAGGCCAGACAGAAAATGTCAGGAGAAAACAATGTTTTCTACAACTTTACTCTGCCACCTTGTGGACAAGCAGATGAATGTCAGTGCAGCAGATCTTTTGGTGAGTAAACATAAACTACCTGTTGACTACAGAGATTGACTGCACCAGCATCTCCACGTCTTTACCCACAGTAGATAGAATTGGAGGGATGAAACCCTCTTTAATGGTCACACATGCAGAGCACACAGCACACAGTGACATTTGGCCTCTGCATTAGTACCAGGAGTCTAGGAGCAGTGGGCAGCTATTGTACAGCGCCCGGGGAGCAATGGGAGTGTTTGGTGCCTTGCTCAAGGGCACCACGGCACGGTAACTCAGCTTTACTTTTTTTTACCTGGCTACACACCGAAACAAGTAACCAGCCTTTTCAAGTAAAAACTAGAACAATGGGATTGCATATATAACCTGTGAAAAAAATGTAATACAGGCAATTTGTAGTAAACTCATTCCAAGTGGACTGCTCAGGGAGTAATTGAAAGTGTAACCCCTTCAAATGTGTTTCCTGAGTGTGCGTCTATATTGTGCAGCCGGTTATAATAAATGCTGCAAATCGAGTAAAAGGTTGACCTCCTTCGTTCATATTTCTGGTGTTTTGCTTCTGAGGGAACACTTTGCCCCTCTCCACAGCCATTAAGAAGATTCACTGTAAAAACACTGCTTTAAGCTGAATGGCTCAAGAGCTTATGTGCAATAAGTGTGTATGTGTGTGTGTGTGTGTGTGTGTGTGTGTGTGTGTGTGTGTGTGTGTGTGTGTGTGTGTGTGTGTGTGTGTGTGTGTGTGTGTGTGTGTGTGTGTGTGTGTGTGTGTGTGTGTGTGTGTGTGTGTGTGTGTGTGTGTGTGTGTGTGTGTGTGTGTGTGTGTGTGTGTGTGTGTGTGTGTGTGTGTGTGTGTGTGTGTGTGTGTGTGTGTGTGTGTGTGTGTGTGTTCAAAAATCCAATTTTAACTCTGTCTCTAAAACGCCCTTAATGGTCAAACCAGCTACAATACTGAGGATTTTAAATGGCCAATAAAATGTATGTGGATGTGAAACTCCCCTGGCAGCATGGCAACATAATAAAGCCTCACCTTCTCATCATCCTCGGTAAAGGGAGTGCCCATGGGATTTTTGTTGATAGCTTGAACAACACCTATGACTTCCCCATCACTGTTACATATGGCCATACAGAGGATGGACTGAGTCTTGTAGCCTGTTAGCTTGTCTATCTCATCACTGAAGCGGTGGTCCTGGAACAGTGATCACATTAAAAAAGGTTTAAGGTTATATCAAACATGCATGATCCTACATTAACACACAAAAAGCCTGAATGCATTGCTTCACATTTTTGGGCTTTGCGGGCTACTGTAAAGCTTCCCAGAAGAAAACTGTTTGGAAATTTACAGAACAACATGTTCCTGTTCTTTTTATCAAAAGCAGAATATTTACGATATCCCTGACACATATGAACTATTGCAGTATTAGACCTCAGGAGAATCATCATGTTGCCTTAGCCCATGCAGTACCATGAAGCCCAGGGCTATGATATAATGATGTGGTGGCTTGTGGGAAGAATTATAATGCTTGCTTTTGCTTTGACTGTTAGAGAGTTTTTTCTATTCTGACCTAATTGAGGTAATTAGTATTTTCTCCATTTATTCTGGTTAAGTGACCCCTTTGAGTTGAGCTTTCCTTTAACCAACTCACAGAGTTCCACTTCAAAAACAACTAATTAAAATGGCTTACATTCTTTGTGGATACTTTTAATGTTGGCACCACTGTTTGTGTTCATGTTTACTCCCAGTGGTGAACAACTTCTGATTTCAACACCAGTCTTTCATCATTAATCAATGGCTGCACCTGTAAATACATCTGCATAAACTTTAGTCTCGGTAAACTGGTATTTATTTACCTCATATGCGTTTGGTGTGTTCACAGTTTCTCCATGCTCTGCCACATATCCAATAATACCCTTTCCCCATGGCACCTGCACTTCGTTGGAGTTTAGGGTGCTGGATGATGGTCTGACAGTGGTGCCAGAGTGCACATCAAATAATTTGGACACCAGTGTCCTCTTGTGCGCGGGTCCCTCCACAAGGAACAGTGAACACCTGTCCGCATCCACCAGGATGCACACATTGATCAGGATCTTATAACTTAGGTTTGTCAGGTCCAAGTCATTGGAGATATCCTTCACCAACTCCAAGAAAAACTCCCTCTCGTTGGTTTCCTTAAGTCTGTATTTGTATTCGATGGCGCTGGACGCGTACTGGGGCACGTTGACCCGGGACTCCAGCAGGGCGCTCAGGATGTGCGCGGTGGTCGGAGGCAGAGAGCTGGCTTTACGCAGGAGTGCACGACGCCTCATGCTGGACTGGGACTCATGTTGGCTCACATGTTCGTCATAGGTCCGGTGTGCGGTAGTGGCTTTGGACCGGGCGAAGTTCCGTCGCAGCTCCATGTGGGAGGATCTGCGCCGGAGCCCCTCCGGGTTGGTCGGCCACAGCGAGTCCCGGGCAGCGCCGCGCTTCTCCTCCGCTGTGGTTGGCACTTTCGACGGAGGATGCTCTCTCAGCCATCTGCTCACCTGGTCACATTTCGCCTTTCGGACTAGATACTCCTCGAAAAGATCTGGGTGGCAGTCCAAAAAAGCCGCAATATCCGAGAAGTCAAATGTTGTCATAGTGAAAGCTGCTGTGAGGACCAAATGAGACACTCAAATGCAACAGAACAAGTTAGACGAGTTGATGACGGTGTGGTGCGTATGCAGCCGAGCTTCTCAGAGAAGTGATGTCCTCAAAATATGTATTTTCTATTCCCCCATATAAGACAGTCCATTGTCCTCTTAACACTGAGAGAACAAGTGGACATCAAAGACTGAGTTTAGTTTAAAACGGATCAATGAGCGATGTTACAGCTGTCTGTCAAGTCGAGAATGAGTGTCTCTGGAGGTGTCTGAGGAATACTATGCAGAGCTGTAGAAAAACACAACACTAACATATTCTCCTTAAAAACTGCAGGGCAGGCTGTTCACTCGCTCTCTTTATTCTTTACCACCAGAGACACTCTGTGCTAGGCTCCAATCACAACCAAGTACGAATTTGATGTTTCATTAAACCTTGCAGGGAAGGCACAGTATTTGTGTTGTGTGTAATAGCAGTGGTGTGCTCGTTTGAAAAAAAGAAAGCTTCACTCAACAAAGAAAAATATGCACATTATAAACAATGACATGTGTGATTTGTTTACAGGCTTGATTATGCATGCCCATGACCCTCAGGTGCAAACCAAGAATCAGACCTTGACACCAAAGACCACTTCACTGTAATAGTCAATGCTGGTGTCTTTTAACAGTGTGCGTCTTTCCATACCCTGATTTGAGTCGATAACATTGAACCAAACCTCAGCCATGCTGCTGATGAGAAAACCATCATAAAAATAGTGTTATGGTGTATATTTGTGAAGCACTGAAAATGAACTGTCAGCATAAAGACTGCACAGGCCCTGTATGAAAATCTAATTTTAACACAGTTTATATTGTACCTCTTTAACCAGTTTATGCTTACATGAGAAATTTTCTCAGATGAAGTTACGAAGAACAATTGTTACTCAGCAAACCTTATCGGGTTAAAACCACAACACTTGGCTGGGCGAGCGGTTTGTGAAGAGTTGCATTTTCAAGGGGGAGTTGGGGCCCAAAGCTAATATTTTGGGTTCATAGCAAGGTTTTTCTATTAGCTTTAACTATAAACCAGTAGGTTAAAAAAAAAAATTGTTAACATGAACGGTGAAAATAAACCAGTTTAAATCAATTTGTTCCTCTATAGATGAGTGTTTCATAGATTACTGTGTATAATAACTACAGATTAAGTTGGTCAGTTGGTGTGTACCTGTACGCATCAACCCACATGTGCACAATAAGTACATTTTATAGAGAAATCACTGCAGGCTGTGGCACATTTATAATGCAGCAGAAGGGAATGTAATCCGGAGAGATGTGGCTCCGCTGGGGCAGAGGAGGGTAATTGGTTACTGGACTTAGCTTAGGCTGCTTGATAGGACTTGGGTGTTTTGCTGATACTTTGGACAAGGTCTCCTGGGAATCCCAATTAAAATTAGAATGCAGAATATGGGTCTCGTAAAAGCCAACAAACAAAGCCAACCTTGCAACTTTTAAAGCAGTCTGTCATGTCCAAGGAGAGGCAGCTGCATTGATTATACTGTTAGTTCTGCCTGTGTGCTGATTGAAAACTGTTTTTTGGGTGCAGTTTTCAGGTTTCTGATGTTTTAAAGAATGGGGGCAGGTGTGTTGTCTTATTTTAAAGGCCCTATAAAATGTTTTGTTTTTTCACCTTTGCATTGAGTAATGTGTTACTATACTGTATAAACAAACTTTATATTGCTGAAATTCTTGATTTGCCAAAATATATTTCGGTATCTTTTTCTGTGCCTTTCTTTCTGGGATGCACCAATCAAGATCTAGCTACATTGCATTTAAAATAAGATTACTTAGTCGTTTTTCCCACTGTCTGACCATACTAACAGTGTTTGAGGATGAATTGTAATCTTCTGACGTACAAGGTTTTTAGGAACTCACTGTAACTTTTTTATCCAATAATGAGAACACCAATTTGCAATTTTGTTACTTTTCTGTCATTCTTTACATTCATCTAGAAAATGTGGTTTCTAGAGTAATAATAATACAGTCATGGCAGAGTAACAGCACCATGGACAGCGCTGTCTATCCATCCACTAAATCCTAGAAGAAGATGTTCCACAAAATGAGCACACATTGTCTAAATCAACATAAGAACAGGATGAACCAGAAATTATCTCTGAGATTGTTCCAGAGACTTTCTTGCAACAAGTTTTCTGGCTTTGTCTAGTGAATACAGTTTGAATGTATAACTTGTTCTATGTTGCATTATGGGATAAAGGCAACGAAATGCGACTCCTGTAACCAAACACCACACACCGCACACAGCTTGTATCCGGTGTCAGCCTGCCGGACCCAGCTTGATTTCCATTCCACACCATGCTTAGTTGTATGAGTTCACCTAACTCTGAATATGTAATATTATCAGATCCACACTTGATGAATGAATGATGGGCGTCCTGAGCAGTGATTGCCAATTAGATATGAAAATATTGACATAAGCACATCATGACACCAAGTCAAGTCAACTGCTCCACGGGAACTAAACATATTTTCAAGGGGTTACAGCTTTTATTTAACATACAAAATGTGTCGTATTTCAGTCTTTGGTCTTCCAAAAGCTATTTAACCTACTGCTCACACAGGATGTGATATGAGCTGGATTAGGCGTCACTCACTGCAACCCCATTGTTTATTGTAACACCATCACTTCCGCTGTCCCAGGAATCCAACCCCACCTTGCTGGTCACAAGTGAAGACGAGGGAGTCCTGTCCTGTCAAAGAAAGCGGCAACGCTTTTTACTTTAATCCATTTGGACCAGCACGAGTCCTTCCCATAACTGTACCAGGAGGATACTTTTTCCATGCTTCAACTATTCACTAAAGAATGGAAATTAATATATGTCATTGATTTCATTTATACAACTGCTAAGGTAAGTGACCATGAGCCGATATGTACCCATCTGTTGAAACATACCATTCATTGTATGAGCCAGGTTGGTTGTGTTACATTAAGGGACACATTGTTGGAAACATCTAGTCTCCTTCTGATTGGTATTTTTATTTTAATCATCAGAAAAGGTTTAACATTCGTGATAAATTGCTCTGAATTAATACTATTGTTACAAAACAACAACAGGCAGGGTTTGACCACAGATGTGACTTAATTTTCAGTTTGTTTGCCATCATTTAATTCTCCCTAGTTACATGGTGCCTTCAGCCGCCTCTACTCTGAGTCAGAGCTCCAGCAGCCAGATGGAGCCCAAGTCCTCCCCAACTCATTTAAATGGCCGTCATGACTTTGGTAATGGAGGAGCTGCAGTAACAGAGTAAGTGTAAAAAATATTTTGCGTAGAAATGAAAATGTAATTCACCAAATGAAACCTATAGATTGTTTTTTTACCTTCACAGGCACTCAACCAGTCGACAACGTTATAACAATAATGGCAGAAATAAAAGTAAAGTTCGCCTCAATGACCAACTGTGAGTAGCCATGATTAATCATACATATAGTCATCAATCATATTATGAATTGTTTTTAAAACCACCAGACTCAGAGACAGTTGTATCCCACAGGCCATAGGGCTACTTAAAGAGGTTGCACTATTTTTATGGTTGTCGTTTTTTTTAAATGATAATTGCCTTGTTGAGAAAACTGTGACCCAAGTTTTTTATTCATTACATACTGTACTACACCGTAGGAGTGTATATGATATGACATGACAATAATCCTTTGAATATTGAATCTAAAATGATGTGATTGATTTTGTTTCTTTTCTCAGCATACCGAAACCAACAGATATAAATATGGCGTGAGTACTTTATGATTGATATCTTCTATCTATCTTGTCTTTTGTCTGCCTCACACTTTGATGCACTTCATCTTTATTTAATTGTCTTTTTCCCCTTACAGTGAGAAAATGATAAAGATAGCAATTTCCAAATCACATCCCTATTCATCCCACATCTCCAAGTTTGCAATGTTTCCATCCTATCGCTGTCCGGATGACCCCGAAACAGGAGTCAGAGCAGCTTCTCAACCTTTCCTCAACCCCCTCATGCCAAATAGTGCGCCTGGGGTCACTCTCCTGAGTAAAGCCATAGGTAGGAGGGCAACATGTTGTTGTAAAAAATATATAATCATTATTTTTATCTCTAAAATATCTTAATCCCAATGTGCAGGTAGTTCATATAGACATGAAATATTGGAGACACCCATAAAAACCACGAAGAAAGCTGTAATGTGGACCGGAGAACACGGCTTCTTAGATGTGAGTAATGAAATACTGTGTGGCTCCACATTATCATTGAGAATGTGCAATACATCAAATGACAATTGTTTTGTTACTTTTTTCTAAATGTACCCTCCTTTAGCATTCAAAGCCATTAAAGGGCGAGAACCAGGTTTTTTACCCCACTCCTCCAAAGACAGTGCTGCCCAACCCTAAACTTCGTACCTTGGATTTGTCTATATCAGAGCGGACAAGTAACATGCTGAATAATTTGGAGAGGACACACTGGGTCACCTCCTACCAAATGCACCACACAGGTAAAAAGGCCCAAATGTATGTTATTATGTTAGAAATATACAAATGTAATGAGATTGGGGTATGAGGATACATACATTTGTATGTGTTTTAAAAGTTTCTTAAAAGGTCCATATTGGTCCTCTTAGCTATGGTGGCAATAACACCGAGATAAGACTGTTGACTTTTGTTGTCCTCATATGACAATACATATTTTATAAAATATGTCATATGAGATTAAATATAATTCATCGTATGCCCATCCAAAAACAGTGAGACTACCATCCATTCATCCAAAAAACTAATTGGCAATACTCTTATCTTTCGTTATTCCCTCTCCTCCTACATTCTTTCTGTGCAGTCCCTTAGCAAGAACCTTAAAACACATTTTTAAGAACACTGAGTACAACTTGTTAAAATAAATTATGAAAGGAGTATGTACAAGCACTTTGTGAATCCAGAAAACATGCTTTTAACATCAATAATCAATCAGACTGTGCAAGTATTTTTTTTTTTTAAGGATCGGGGCCAGCAAATCCTCTAAAGATAGATGACTTCCAGGAGAAAATCTGTGACATTACCGGGATGAATTCACACAATGCACCTCTGGTAAATTCCTTAAGAACATTGCACCTTTTAACAGCTACATTAACACCATGCAACACTTAACGTATTTATTTCCCTACAGAGAGAAAGGTCCTTTCCTGTATTTGTTCCCTCCAAACCCAGAGGAGGATGTAGAAGACGAGAGGCGAGCACCTGCAGTACTGCTGCTGCTGAACGCACAAATCTATCCTCAGCTCCAAACCAAGGCACTGGCAGGCCACAAGAGATCACCGTTCGGTATAATGAGGCAACAGATCCAAACCAAAAGGGTCACAATCAGTCAAAGTACAGTTCTGGCTCCACAAAAGCATGGCGCGCTGAGCCATCCCAGGAGGTCTCACCCGAACAACAGAATGATGGCAAATTATGTCTATACGAGGGAGAGGAGAGAGAGGACTGCATGTCCAGGGAAGCTTCAGAGCAGGAGACGCTGCCCTACAGTTTATCGAAGTCCTGCATCCGGCCCAGACCTCCTGTCCTGCCTGGCTCTCGCCCAGTGGACAGAGCTCTCTGCCTCCTGGACCTTCAGAATTCATTCAGCAAGACCAAGGCCCATCACAACTTTAATAACTCTGTCACACGTGCTGCTGTGAACCTAAGGGACAATGTGCACACAGGAAAGAAACATGACTTCTATGGGATCAACTGCTACTACCTGCATGGATAACCTACTGCACATGGATTACTACATCCTGGAAGAAAACAATACAAATAATGTGAATCTTAAGCAAATTCATAAAATACAACCACTTCTTGATATTTAATGTTAGAGAGTTTAGCATTGAAATATTGTAAATCATGGTTGAATTGTTGAGTGCAATAAATTCAGAGATGTTTCAGTTTCAACATTACCTTACAGTTAAATATTCCCAGCAAAGTCGCTTTTGAGGCTAAAACTATTACGATGTTTTCATTTTCTCATAATATCTAAACTGATGGTGGGCACCATAATGTAGCTTGTGTAGATTCATATTTTTTTCTAAAACAGTTTATTGAACTCAGTAATTGCTCAGTGTTTTGTAATTATAGTAAACAGCAAATGTGCGAGGTATTGTTAATTAGCTCTTTGGTTCTAAGCATTTCATTTGCAATATTCATTAGAACTCACAATTTATTATGGAATAATTGTCTTGTATAAGGCACACAAAAGCCAACGCTACTTGTAAGGGTAAAATAAAAAGCAACAGCCTTCACAGCTCAACTCTTTGACTTCAGTCTGCCCAAACAGTTCATACAGAAGGAATATTCAGCAGCTGTCAATTAATAATGTTGCAAAGATGAATACTTTGCTTCTTACTGTAACCTTTCAAGTTTCTTACAGCTAGACTTGTATGAAAAAGACACAATGTCACACACCCATTACAGAGCATTGTGTTGGCTGTGTTATGGAATCCACCTCTGTGTATCGAAGGTGCTTCAATAACTTTCAAGCTTGCGAGTGTGAAAGGAATTTTTTTATTTTTTGCACGTAATCTGCTGCAGTCAGGCTGACTCTCAATGAAAGGGTTTTTTGTGGCAGAAAGTCCTTGAGCATGAGCCTGTATCCTCGTCTGATATAACAGCCTCTCATTCAGACTTTCAGCAAAGAGGATGATAATGGCTCTCTCAGAAAAATAGACCAGTGCAATTTTCTTCCTGAACATTATAGATCATTGTGTGTGATTGCTAACCCTTATAAGATTGGTGTTGTTATAATTGTTTTGTTTTGTAAATTGTTTTACTTGTGTGCAAATGCAACAAAGCATGCATTCACATATTAAAACATACACATACTTATTTTGGGGATTTACATTTTTTTGTTCATGTTTCATATATTTTCAAAACTGCTTAGTCACTCACTAGCATGTGCACAACTTGTAAATCTCAGAATTTGTTTGCAAAAGATGCTCTATTTGTTTTTCACGACTGAAAGGATGTGATTCAACCACATGTCCAGCAGGTGGCGGTATATCACCATTCTCAGACCGAAGTTCTGTCATTGATCATTCTGTTCTCATTCCGTTGGTCAGATAACGGTTATTTTGTAGTCAGTTTAACTATTTTAGTCAGTTAGTAGGAACATAAAAAGTAATTAATTCCACTCGTCCTCTACAAGTGGACAACGTAATGGAAAATAAAGATACATAAGCAAAAACTCAATAATCAGACCACCCATGACTTGCAAAGTCATCTGTCTGACCGCACTGTGTCCTTGCTTTTGGGGTCCTCCGCGATACGTCACGGAAAAAGATGCTGTCAATGACACAAGCCCCGCCCCTCCGAGGTGACGCCTGGCTTTGTCCTGTATTTTAATTGGAGTTGCCCTCGTTCAGTCACGCCCTCCCCATACAGCGGTGGAGAAACTGATGCTTTCAGAGCAGGGCAGGAGGAGGACGGTGCATGTGTGTGCATGTCAGCTGTCTGCTTGAGACATTGTTTGAGTATCTCTTTATCGGCTGTGCTCTCTCATTTGGGGTTAAACCAGATCCTTCCATTTATCCCTGTCCTCATCACCTGGAATTCACGTCTCTGTCAAGGTGAGTGCGTTTTTCCCTAAGTGAATCAGTTGTCTCTCAGGCTACTATATCGTTTTCGTGCCAGATTAATTAGTCAAGTGTTTTCAAAGTTTGTCAGTGCCTCTTTTCTTGCTCTCTGAGGAAGCATGTCTAACTTGAACCTTTCGCATCCGCTAAAGAGAGAGTAGTAAAAGGTCCCAGTGCTCCCTTGTAAAGCTTCAAATATATACTACAGTTACCACCACTTAAAACATTGGGTAAAAGTCTCCTGTTGGAGAAATAAACAGACGAATTTCCCTGTTATAATCATAACATGTGATTCATACAATAAACACCAATAGATAATGTTAGTCTCCATGGTAACTCTGAGCTCCCTTCCTCTTTTCTAAGAAAGTAAAAACAAGTTGTGGAGGATAATTGTAACTGTTTCCATATAAATCAATAGCATGCTGTAAATGCAGTCACAAGCCAAAAGTATACTAATGTGGCTGAGTGGATGATCTCCTGCTGAGTGGATGTAGGTGTGTGTGACTGTGAGAGCAGTTAGGATCCATTTTCAGATTTGATCAGGGCTCAGCATCTCATAGGCTACTCAACACAGAGTGTTTGGAGCAAAACAGTAATATGGCAAAATGGCAGACAGAAAATATGTATGCCAGTTATCAGTACTCTCCAAGATAATTACAACTCTGTGTAAATCCATCATAATAATAGTGATTTTCCTCTGTGCCAACACTTTTCAGTCAAGTGCCCCTAAAACTGGTGGAGTCAAAGCTGTTCTGTTTGGTGCTGTGGCTCCCTTACAGAGTGGCTATAATTTCAGGACTTACACAGGGTTATCTGAGCTCATGCGGGTGTTGTGTCAACAGTGCAACAGAGGAGGCTTTTCAAGGGCTGTATGTGTGTGTTTGTGTGTTTTGGTGTGTGAGGCTCAATAGGGGCCATTGAGAGTTTCTGTAAAAAAAATGAACATCACACTAAGTAAATGTATGCACATCCTGAGGTTTTTCTTTCGTAACACACCCCAATCAGTAATTGCAGTCAAACACATGGAGACAGGGAGGGAGGGGAATCAATAGAATTTGTGGAATGCAGCAGCAGGAAATGAAACATCTCTTTGTCTGTGCAAAACATATATTTGAATCAGCACTGGGGCATTGCATAAGGTCACCTCCACGGTTACTTCAGCTTTCCCCTGGTATATCTTTGAATAAATGTGCACAAGCTATAATTTAGTGACAAAAATACAGTAACCTGCTCCATGGTAGTTTTTCTAAAAAGAAACAATTTTACTTTTTAGAACAGCTGCTGAACAAGTGAATAATGCAGGTAGTGGGTAAACAGGACTGGGAGAACAGCTGTTGTTGTTAGCATCTTGTGCATCCTGCATGTGGCAGGTGTTGCCTCCCATTGCGTGGTCAGCAAGCATCCATAAATAATTCAAATTGGTTGATATGTGGTTTAAGGTAAAAATAAAAACTAAGAATATAGACCATGTCTGCAGGACTTGTTGTACTTGTTAATGACACAAACGGTTGGTCACAACTTTCACTTATTAACCCTCCTGTTGTCTTCGGGTCAAATCTGACCGATTTACTACTTTCATCAATCATAACTTTTTTGTTTTACATTCGATTGCATTAAGGCTTTATGATATCCTTCACAGTAGACATTTGAACATATAAAATTGCTGATCACCACTTTCATTGAATTGTGGATGATTTAGTCAACTTTGTAACACCCATGGTGACCGCCATAAAGAAAAGGAATTAGTAACCATCCGGATCAGATAAAACACACACACAAACACCCCCCCCTCACACACACACACACACACACACACACACACACACACACACACACACACACACACACACACACACACACACACACACACACACACACACACACACACACACACACACACACACACACATACTCACTCTAGATGTGTTCCCCCCTTATGTGCCCAATCCCCCCATGTGAATCACACCTGGCACTCACAAACACACACTCACACAGAACAATTTGACACATTTCCCGCTCTTATGTGCCCCTCCCCCCACATGGATCACACCTGGCACACACAATACATGTTCAGTGTCTATTCTTTGTATATTTACTGCAGTGTTTCATGTACACCCGTAGTCTGATACCATATTTACAGTTTGAAAGGGTGTTAAATGAAATTTGGTGATGATTAATGGTTTTTGTGTTGATGTAATAGCAGTTAAAACAGGACCTGTCAAATTTGACCGCGAACACCAATGTAAGGGGGGGGGGACGAAGACAATAGGAGGGTCAAGATCACCTGCTGTGACTGTCTTGTTATTACATAATTTCTGTCTGATCATTCAGACAGACTTGAAGTATCTCATTAGTGACATGTTTAATGCTAGGTAGGTGCTCTTGTTGAGATTCCTCAAGGCTGAAGAAAGCTGGAAGGCTGGTTCATAACAAAGCATCTGCCAGACATTAGCATGAAACTTTAACGAGGGCTTCACAAAATTATTGGTTATTCTCCTGGTTTGTAAGGCTGAATTATTCAACATTTACAAAAACGTACAGGATTGCAATTCCCCCCAGTTTTCAACAATACGATGTATTTTGAAATGTGCATGAAAAATTGCAAAAAATGTTGCGGTATTTTTTCCTATTGGATCATCCAACCAGTCAATCATGCAGTGAGTGATAGATGCGATTCAGTGAAGCTTTTCTGGGAGTCTTCGAGCATTTTTGGCATGCTAGAGGCCTGGCTCTTGGTGTGGCAATGTCAGTCTGTCAATCCAATTTATTATCAAGTGGATTTCATTTCACAATTTCCCAACTATTGGCTGGATGGCCAAAAACGTAACTTCTACCTCAACCCTTATTTGTTTTTTGTCTATTAGTGAATGTTGGCATGCCAACAGGCTGAACTAAGTTGGTGAATATAGCAAATAGCCTACAACCTGCCTCATATCAGCATGTTAATATTGTGATTGTGAGCATGTTAGCGTTCTCATTAAAGCAACATTTAGCTCAAAGCATCGCCGTGCCTGATTACAGTCTCAGAGCTGCTAGCCTGACTGTTGGTCTTGTTGGTAGCCTATACATTGACAGCTGCCATAAAACAACCAGCTTAGACCAGCTAAATTGACCAGCCTGACCAGCCAGTAGATTTTAGGCTGGAATGGTTGGCTGGTTTAGAGGGGTTTTGGACACTTTAGCTGGCCAGGATGGCTGGTTTAGCTGGTTCAGCTAAACCAGCCATCCTGGCCAGCTAAAAAAAACCAGGATAGACCAGAATAGTATGCTGGTATGCTGGGCTGGTCACCAGCATCCATCGATCACCAGTTTATGTTTAATAATAGTATTAAATATACCATGCTGCAAGCTTACCAGGATTCCAGGTGACCAGCATACATTGTTTAAATACCGGTATGATTATTTAAACCAGAGAACATAAATATATTACAAAGATTCATTGTGTCATGTATTCTGGTATCTACCAAAAGAAAGACATTGTATAGTGTTCATAACATTATTTTAATTAAATAAATAGCAATAAATAGCTAGTTAATATAATAAAATACACAGTAACAATACAATAATTATACAATTAACCTATACATCAAAATAAATATATTATCTAAAACAGGTGCATTTGATTTAAAATAAAAGTAATGAATAGAATTTAATATTTAAATGGTAACAAAAACAGTAACACTATGTATGATAAGAAAAAGGCAACAACATTTGGGCTGCTGTGGTTGCCAGAACTTGACCATTAAAGTATGGTAAAATACATTATAAATTACAGTTGGTTGGCATAGACGTTACAGTCAACAATTGCTTATGGTGAATTACAATGGCAAAAACAAATAGAGCTAGTGTACACGGTGCAGCTGTATTATCTAGGAAATAGAAGAATCGGATCAGGATTCGGTATTTGCAGACAATCAATATCAAATGAATCGGATAATTATTAGCATCAGCATTTTATCACCTTTGTCGACTTGCAGCCTAAATACAAAGATAACTCCACTCCTCTCCTAACACTGCTTACCTCTAATGAGCCTTGGTAGAACTAGTGTCCGAGTCATAGGGTCCAGAACTGACTGAAGACATGTGGAACAGAGCCATAGGGTCCAGAACTGACTGAAGACATGTGGAACAGAGTCATAGGGTCCAGAACTGACTGAAGACATGTGGAACAGAGTCAAAGGGTCCAGAACTGACTGAAGACATGTGGAACAGAGTCATATGGTCCAGAACTGACTGAAGACATGTGGAACAGAGTCATTGGGTCCAGAACTGACTGAAGACATGTGGAACAGAGTCATAGGGTCCAGAACTGACTGAAGACATGTGGAACAGAGTCATAGGGTCCAGAACTGACTGAAGACATGTGGAACAGAGTCATAGGGTCCAGAACTGACTGAAGACATGTGGAACAGAGTCATAGGGTCCAGAACTGACTGAAGACATGTGGAACAGAGTCATAGGGTCCAGAACTGACTGAAGACATGTGGAACAGAGTCATAGGGTCCAGAACTGACTGAAGACATGTGGAACAGAGTCATAGGGTCCAGGACTGACTGAAGACATGTGGAACAGTCAAAGGGTCCAGAACTGACTGAAGACATGTGGAACAGAGTCATAGGGTCCAGAACTGACTGAAGACATGTGGAACAGAGTCATAGGGTCCAGAACTGACTGAAGACATGTGGAACAGAGTCATAGGGTCCAGGACTGACTGAAGACATGTGGAACAGTCAAAGGGTCCAGAACTGACTGAAGACATGTGGAACAGAGTCATAGGGTCCAGAACTGACTGAAGACATGTGGAACAGAGTCATAGGGTCCAGAACTGACTGAAGACATGTGGAACAGAGTCATAGGGTCCAGAACTGACTGAAGACATGTGGAACAGAGTCATAGGGTCCAGAACTGACTGAAGACATGTGGAACAGAGTCATAGGGTCCAGAACTGACTGAAGACATGTGGAACAGAGTCATAGGGTCCAGAACTGACTGAA